CCTTCCATCTTCAAAAATCTGCTGAGTCTTACCTCACATCACGTTACTCTCCCAAGTTCATTGTAAACACATTTTCTGAGCACCTCCACTATGCCAGGGCCCTTGCAGAGGCCGGCCGGGCTTGGTGGCTCTGGCTAGAAGATGGAGCCTTTGTCTGCCCCTAGGCTAAACCCCTTTCTGGTTCCCTGAAGAACAGCTCTCTGGGGCTGTGTCCCTGTCCATTCCTTTTTTGTTTTTGGGTTTTTTTTTTTTGTCTAAATTAAAAATATTTTAACATGTGAACTCGAATGAATATGGTCTCACTGTGAGCAATTAAAATACTACAGTTAAATCACCTCACTCTCCATGCCCTCCCCACAGCTCTGATTTGTAGTAGTCGCATTCTGAAAATTCCCCAAATAAATCATTTCACTTATTTTTTTAGTTAAAGCTAGATCCAAACCTAGTTAAAAGAATCAAATAGTTCTCCCAAGGCTTGTCATAAGGCAGCAATTTCTTCTTTTTCTGTCATTACCTGAATCTCAGTCACCACTTTTAGCTTTTTTAGATGAGGTTTTTCCCCTTTCTTTTCTTATGTTTGTTTCTAAATAATGTGCATATATTATACATCTTGAATTAAATTTTAGTCATTGTCTGTGGAATTGACTGCATGGAAGGTTGAGGTCTTGTTTTATTTACCCCTCCCCCCCCCACACTCTCACGTGACTTCCTGAACCTCTGAGGCAATTCTGGTTATGTCAGTCGGTACTTGGGGAATTGAATTTAATTGAAGCATTTCTCTAAGGATTCCTTTCTTCTTTCTCTCCTTCTAGAAAATTTCCTTTTCTAGAAGCCCTTCTTTTCAGACATTATCTGTCTCTCCTCTTTTTCTCTCTGTGTTCTTCCCTTCTGTCTGGAAGATTGCATCAAGTTTCTTGTCCAATCCATCCTTTGTGTTTCTTTTCCCCTTATATTTCTAAGTTCTAGGAGCTGGTTTCTTCTCTGACTGTTCATTTTTATAGCATCTCTCTCTGAGGATGTTCAAGATAGTTTTGTATAGAGGCTTTCTCCCCCCTGCATGGGTTTTGTTTCCTCCAACTTGCTTTTTTTTCTTTCCTGTGTTTGTGTCTGTCCTTCATATGAAATTGTTTCCTTAAGTTTCTAGTGACCTAAAGCTCTTTACTCCTACATAAGTCATGGTTGTGCACTCAGCTGACTAGAAGTGGAAAAGGGGAGGCAGGAACCCCTCACATGGCAGGCAAACAGAGATCTGTCTCTGTCTGGGCTGTTTCACTGGGAACTCTTACTATTAGTGTATTTTGTGTTCTCCTTTTTGGTCTGTCAGATTCTCCAGTTAAAGTTCTTCATTTCCTTCCTGAGGGCTGTTGCTGATTGCTGGGGCCTGGGAGCCGCATGTGGGATGGAGGCTGGGATGGCTAAGTAGCTGGTCTGCACAGCAACTTCCATCAGCTCTCCTGCCCTCGGTATGGTTCTCCCACCAAAAGGGGGGCCAGGGGCCTCAGTCTGAAGTGTCTCTTATTACCCTTCCTGGAGAGTAAACTCCGTGTCAGCCTGAGTGACGGAGGGCAGTCACAGCTTTGCATTCAGTATTCAGGAGTTCTGGGATTGAATTGCTTTTCAACCAGTTCTCCTGAATTTAGCTCCTTTTTTGCCCTCATTTCCAGAAATAGCAGGTCCTGCCAATTCCCGAGTCTGGGGTGGGTGGTGAAGGGGTGCTGTTTTGCAAACCAGGTGGACTTTGTGCTCTCCCGAGTCCTGGCTTGGAAGGAGCTCTCTCGGGTCTGCCTCCTCTTGCCCATCTGCTTGCTAGCGTCTGTATGTCGCCCTCCTGTCCTTTCCCCCTACGAGCGTTTACACCTTCACAATCATCCCTTTAATCCTTCCTACTGGAGTTTTGGGGTTTTTAAATCTGTCATTTGAACTAGAAGTTTGAACTTAATTTTTCATTAATTCAGGAGGTTTTATGTAGAGTGTTTTATTTCCATGTGTATAGATTTCTTGCTCTCTTTCTTATACTCACTATCATTTTATTCTTATTTTTTTTTCAATTAATTCTTTTGCCTTATTGCCAGTGAGTGTGTCTCTATGATTTCATTTCTTGGAAAAAAAATTTTTTGAATAAATGGAGAGCAGAGAAAACGTTATTGCTTTTCTTCATTTACATATCCTTCAAAGCTGTGCCATTAAGGGTATACAAATTCACAGGTGTACTGTTTTCTCTGTAGACTGTTATTTATATTATTATGAGATATTTATCTGTGTTCCCTTTTGTTCTTATCACCTCCAGTTCTATTTTATTTTATTTTGATATTGCTAAATCTGCATTCTTCTTGCTCACATTTCCTGGCTTACCTTTTTTCTACTGTTTTGTTTTTCAACTTTTTTGTTTATTGCTCTTTCCTTTTTAAAGCCAGACTTAACTTGGTATTCTAAGAGACAAACTAACCAATCCAGGTACTATGAACTAAAATGTTTGTACCTATTCCTTGCCATCTTATTTATGTTTTGTTTTCTATTTGTCTTTACCTTTTTTTTTCCTTCCTCCCATTTTCTGCCCATTTTCTGAACTGATTTGTTACGTTATTTTCTGTCTCATGTTGTGGAAGTTGTATTTTCCATTTCTGTTCTATTCCATTTCTCATCAAAGCCAGGAAACCCAGTAATAAAGGGCTGGGATAACTAGTCTTCCTGTGAGTCCTCACACAGTGGACATGGGCCAGGCTGATCAACTGAGTGTGTGTCAGGAGTTCTCGTGGCTAAGGAATCATTTCACACAGAAGCTAAAACCACTAAGATGAAACAACCTGGAATCTTCTATTAGTGCAACTGTAGGGTCTGTCTGCTAGAAACTATCAGGGAAAGCTAGAAGGACAGGGTTCTGTTTGAGAGCACCTTTGCCTAGTCTTCCCATCTGAGCTTAGGCAAAAAGCCGCTGCTCCCCCCATCTTGAGTTTTCCCCTTCTCTAAGCTCTGTGTCCTGCCGTGAGAAGGGGAGTGGGGAAGAGATGGGGCTTTGCGATAGAACAAGAATGTGGGCTGAGCATGATCCTCAGCGTGTGTCCTGCACTCTGGGCAGCATCAAGGGTAGCCGGACATCCCTCCCCTGCACAATTACATCTGCTAGATGGGTGACAGACCCTCTGTCAGGAGGGTGCTTACTGCCTGTGCACTGCTGTCACTTTAAACAGTGAACAGGGCACATTTTTCCAGGAACCAGATATTGAGAATTAGTCTATTACATGTAGTTCATACAATTATGGGATTTTGTGGGCTGTTTTGCCAGCAGGCATGCAGGTTTGAGATCATACTGTATAAGCTAAATGAGTCAAATTTAGCCAATAGTCTCCTTGAGATTGGGAACCTGTGCAATGGGGCTCCACAGCAGTCAGGCTTGCTGGGGGAGGGAGAAATATGGGAAGGAATAATGCCCCATGAGGTTTGGTGGTGTCAGCCAGGCCCAGGGAAGCCAGACCCAGTGGCCCTGTGGCACTGAATGCCCTGGTGCAGTTCAGGCTGGGCCTCAGGGCTCCCCCTGTGTCCAGACTGGTGCCTGAGGATGTTAATGCCACCATTTTATTAGGTGTTTCCCCTAGAAGCCATTGATGTCTGGAAAAGGTGGCAGGTGAGAGAGCAGAGTGTCCAGTTCAGGACACCCGGGAGATAGAGGTTTGTTATGGAGCTGCAGCTAGTGGGGCAGGGCTGCTTTGGGGCTCACTGTGAGGAATATGTGGGGAATGTTGGCAGGGGCTCACCCAGAGCCTGGTTACCTCTGTGCATGAGTCACTATAGTGCACAGGGCTTGCCCAGCGTCATGATGGAGTTCTCCGGGAGATGGTGCCATGGGCTGGGCCAGGAGGGGATGACACTAGGGGCCACAGGCGGGGCTCTGAGGGGCTGGGGACTCTGCCAATTTTGGTTATGGTCAGCAGAGTGACATGTCACCAGTATGTCAGCCAGGAAAGCTGAGATACCATTGGAAGGCCAAGGCTTGTCTTCAACACAAATAACAGAGGGCAGGAGGAAGATGGCAGTGAGCAAGCCAGAAGCATGGCTCCAGGTATGGGGAACAGGCTCAGGGGCAGGGCTGGGGGATGGAAGGAGCAAGGTACAGGTAGGGCTGAGGGGGCATGAGAGTACCCAGGGTTAAGTACTCTTATGCTAGGATTTGTCTCAGTTATGTATATGTTCTACAGTCTAATCCTTAGCACATCTCTGTGACGTAGGCAGTAATGTCTCCATTTTAGCCATGATCAAACCAAATGTAAAAAGAAATTTAAGTCACTTGTGCCATGTCATATAGCTAGCACTTCAGATCTAATTCAGATCAAATTTGGATCTGACTCCAGTGTTCCTTTGTTCCACTCACTGTCCCTGGGAGCTATTCTCTTTCCTTATAAAACCAGGGGGGCAGGGCAAGATAAGCAGTTTCCTAAATTTTAGTTTAGACCCACCTTCACTACTTTTGTCATACTCACTTCTTATTTGTACTATTATTTATGTGTAAGTTTTCTATAAGCAGTCTCACTTGTTATTTATCTTTTATAGTAAAAATTACATACAGGTAGTTTACCATCTTAAACAGTTTTAAGTGTACAGTCCAGTGGCATTAAGTACTTCACATTGCCATGCAACCCTTTTTGTTTTTAATGTAGGTGATATCTTAGAAAGGAAAACATGATATTGTTATCATGAATGGAAACCGGCATTACTTTCCACAAATAGAAGTTAACCACGAGAATAAATACAGTGAAGACAGAAAGTTATTAACCTTAAGTGTTTCAGTAAAACAGGCTATGATACTAGGAACATGGGGGCCGAGAATAAAAATCTCTTTGGAAATCCTGGTGCAGCATCTCTCTGAGTGGAGTCAGTGGCTTGGTGCCTGGGGAGTGGAAGCCCCGAAGGGAGGAGCTCTCTGCCTTGTCCCCTCTCCTGGGCACAGAAGCCCTTCCTGGGAGCCCTGCCGTGATGCCCATGGACACAGGACACGTGCTTCTCACCTGGGGCTTGGCCTCGTCTCTGTCCTTGTAGTAGAAGAGCTGGTCCCCACACAGCATGAACCAGCGCTGCTGCCAGCTCTTCCGGATGCTCCTCTGCTTCTTCAGCCAGCCTGCCTTCAGCACAGGGCCCAGGCTGTGGGGGCAGGGCGGCCGCCCTGGGCTCCGGCTCTGCTCCCCCATCACCAGGCTTTTGGAGCGGGCTGGAAGCCAAGAACACACATGGTGAGTGTGAAGGATGCACGTCATTCCTTGCCCCATCCTGGCATCCCAGCTGCCCTGTGCCAGGGCACGGATGCTTAGGCCAGCAGGGTCTGATCATGCTAATGCTACATCCTCAGGTTCAGAGGCCTATTGGGTAGAGTAGCTCAGGAGAAGCAGCCTAATGTTATCCACTTAGGGAGGTACAGCCTGCCTGCCTGGTTAGTTTCTGCTATGTCTCTGAGTTCTTTATTTCCCCAGGTTCATCCATTTTGCGTCCATGTACCCATCCACACATCCAGCCATGAATCTTTCCTTTCATCCATCCACCCACACATGCATCCATCTATCTATCCATTAATCCTTCCATCCATCATTCCATCCATTCAACCATCTGTCCATCCATCCATCCATCTTTTCATTTGTTCAATGGTTCAATTGTTTATTCATTCAGCAACTGTTTATTGAGTACCTACTATGTGCAAGTCACTGTTTCAGATGCTGCAGATAAGCAGGCAAATAAACAAGTAAAGATCTGGGTCCTTGTAGAGCTCACATACTAGGAGGGTTGGTTACTGAGGCCCTGAGGGAGCTGGCCTCATCAGACCCTCTCCAGGTTTTCTGTGTGGTGCCCCTTCTCTGGACACTCAGACCTGAGAACCATTGCCCAGACCCTCCAAAGCCACCTTCCTGCACCATCCTAGGCAGGGCAGAGGGGCTCTGCATCAGCCACTTGAAATGGCTCCCTGACAAAGCAGAGGCTATCTCCTGTACCTCGGAGCCTCTGAGTGCCTGTGAGCCCCTCTGCCATGCAGGCTCCCTCTTCTCCGCAGATGACACCATTGACCAGCCAGCCACCTGCCAAGGTTGGTACCACCCCTCACAGTGATGACCCCCAGGGCTCCCTCTGCCCCACCGCTTCTTCTCCCTCCTCTGTCCCAGGGAAAGCTCCTCTCCTCTACAGCCACCACCAAGGATATTGCCACAGTGGTCACTAGGAGGGGCCATCCTGGACTTTGGAGGAATGATTCTGAGTCTAAATGCAATTACACTTGTAATTCTTTTCCATGGATCGAACCTCTGACTGGAACACATGGTCTCCATGGCCCACAGTTTCTTGTATTGGACCTGTGATCCTGTGCATGTGTGTGTGCATGTGGGGCAGCTCCTCCCGTTACACTGAGCCCAGGCCACCCTCTGCTCACACTGTCCCGCTAATCTGGACCTTTCTTCCATCCCTTTCCCACACAATCCCAGGCTCTGGCTGCCTGGTGAGTTTCTACTCATTGTTTAAGGTCCAGCTCAGATGATGCTTCCTCCACAGAATCTTCCTTCTGAATCTCCCCTGGTAGTCATTCCCTTCCCTACCAGGACATGTGGCCTGTGGCTGGCATTTAGCTGGGGGTTGTCTTTCTGCCTCTCTAGACTGAAGGGTGAGGATGGAAGGACATGATTTCTCCAGTTCTACATGTTTGGCCACATTGTGTGCCAGGCAGGGAATGGATGTAAGTCATGGTTGTCAAACATCACAGACTACTTAGGCTTACCCCTATTATTAGGTATGTCTGCTCTTAACATGACAATTAAATGTTAACATGATTCTCAGCGGGTATCTGAGGACAATGTATACTCTGGTGGCTCCCAACTTTGCCTCAAGTGACATATGGCCTGGGATATAATCCTGAATCTAGCACTTTTTCATGAGCAAAAAATAACAAGGCCAGCCTGTGAGCTCTAGAAGAGGTCAGCTCACCGGCAGCAGGGGGATTATGGGGAAACACCACCTCTCCTCTCTACCACCCTGAGCAGCTGTGTTGGCTCAAACTACATAGGTCCTTATCCTCTCCACTTTGATTCCCTGTCACCATCCTTCAGCTGTGGTGAGGCCCGTGTTTAACTTTCCAGCTTTGCCTTGGCCGTGCTTTGGCCTGGAGAGCAAGCAGGCTGTTTCCAGGCTCAGCCCAGTGCACAGGAGAGGGTTGGCAATCCCTGAGGGCCACGGGTTTTCCCCAGAGACTGGGCATGGCCCAGCTTCCAGCTCCCCCTTCCAGGAAAGCGGCCCACCTCTGAAGCCCTGCACCTCACTTCTTCTTGCACCCATCAGCTGCTCTATACTTCTGCTCCCCACCTTTCCATGGGTCCGAGTCCCCAGGCCTATTGATGTGTTCTAGATTAAAGTGCACTTTCCTATTTATTTCTATGGTTGTTGACTATCCCTGTGAATTACCAAAAGGCCTCTCATTGCTGAGCACTTGGATTCTTTCCCATATTAGTTATTTAGCTAAAGAGACAGTAGGGTCCAGTTGAAGAAATAGAATCTCGGGTTTGGATCACTTCTGGCTTCTTTGAACCTTTTGTGCCTCAGTCTGCTGATCTGCAAGCTGGGCCCATGTGGGATGACAATTCCTGACCCTGTAGGGCAAGATGAGGAGGAGCTGGCCATGCCTGGAAGAGTGCTTGGCATGTCCCAGGGGCCCAGGGACAGGTTGCCATGGCACTGATGATTATGATAATGAAAATGTTCAGTGGTGTCCCCAGGCTGAACTGTTGCCTGAAGATGGGCTCCCAGCGTGAGCTCCCAGGGCAGAAGGCCAGACCCTTGCTACGGCTTATGGCTCTTTAGGGGCTCTTACACACTTCCTTCCAAAAATGGTGTGGGATACATTACACAACAAAATTATACTAGTGTACTATTTTTTCCATAGCCATCAACAGGAAATACTATAATTTGAATATTCTTACTCCATAATTTACTAGATATAAAATGACCCTTAGCTATTGCCTTAGCTCACCCTGTTATTGGATTACTTATCAGGAAAACATCTTCACCTAGGCTTCTACTAAACATGTAAAGTACCTGCTCACTGCCTTTGCCTGTTTAGCTGATCACCCCTGCTTGGCCAGGGCTGAGGGGAGCAGCTGGGTTCCCTGTAGGTCCTTGCATCACTGGGTCCTCTTCTCTCAAGTGAGCCTCAGCCACTCTGTAGGAGTCTCCCTGCAGCCCTGAAAGGCCACCCTTCCATTTCCAGGTGTCACCAGCTCTGAGTCCGGGCAGCACCCCTCCTCCAGCTCAGCAGCCTCAGCAGCCTGCAGTGGAGGAAGAAGCAGCTGGGCTGAGCTGCCAGCAGGGTGTGCCCAATGGGACCCAATGGTGTCAGGAGGGACCTTTCTGCTCCTAGGGCTATACCCACCACTCCGCACCTCCTCCCATCTCAAGCTGTCAAGGGGTTTGTGCAGGACTGGATTGAGTAGACACTTACTGATCCCTTTCTAAGACATGGGGCTCTGTCAAGCCCTGGGGACATGGAGATGAGGGTTACCACCGTCCCAATATTCTAGTGGAGCCTGACAGAGAATAGAGGGGACAGGTGTGTCCCCAGGTTACTGAGCTTTATCCTCTGGGTCCCAGTTTTATCGTCTTCGAAATTTCTTCAATGGGTCAAGGATCAATGGTAAAATTAAGTCAGCAGTGCCTAGACTGGTTTTTTAATTACTTGAGATTTCTAACATGAGCCTTGCCTGAAGCAACTGCCAAGGAAATCATTCTGAACATGCACATGATCATTTTATTCCTTTTCCCCGAAGTAATTATGCTATTTGCTGACTACATTCAGAGTAAAGTCCCGCCCACAGACTGGCAGTCAGGAGCCTTTCATGGGAGAGCACCAGCCCAGCTGACCACATGCCTCCCCATCTACCCAGGCCAAGGGCTGCTGAAGGAGTCTGCATATTACACCTGCCTGGGGACCTTAGGAAGAACTATCTCCAGATCTGTTGCATCAGAACTTCCAGGGAGAAGGACTCAGAATCTGGGTTTTGAAGTGGCCTGGGTGATTCCCAGAATTGCTGCCCCGGGCTCTGGTCACATGGGACTTCCCATCATGATGTCCTCCTGCTCATCCTCACTGTCCAAGCCCCACCTTCCATTCAGTGTGTGGGTCCAGCTTCACCACCACCAGATCACAGTCACTCCACTAAAATTAATTTCTTTTCTTTCCTTTCAATTTCACCTTTAAACTACTGTGACTAATGGCCTAGCATATTATTGTGTTGTTTGTGCACTTATCTGCCTCTCCCAAAAATTAAGGACTGGAGACACCCAGGGGACCGAACCCCTCCTAGGGGGCTCTTTGTGCATGAGTATGTGTATGTTTGTGTGTGAGTGCACATGTCGGCATAAATGAGGGTGTGTGCATTCATGAATGTGGGACGTGAGTGTGTGCTTTCGAGTGTGTGCATGCAGAAGTGTGTTTGCAAGTGTGTATGTTTGTGAATGTGTGTGTGTGCATACATTGTGTGTAAGAGTATATACATGCATGATTGTGTGATTGTGAGACAGTCCTGTTCATGCTTGGCCCTGACTGTGTCCCTCCTACCCAACCCTTGCTGCTGCTCTGAGCTGCACCTGTGCCAGGGTGCCTGTAACTCTCCCAGTGCCCTGATCTAGACTGTGCTGGTCATTCTGAGCCTGCCATTCGGCCTAGTGAGAGAAGACATGCGCTGCAAGCTTTGCTTTCTCTGCCACTAGGTGTTGGTGCAATTGGCTCTTGTTACACTAGCAACACTCAGACCTTCCTAGAAAAGCTGGCCTGGGATGGGTCAGGATGGGCCAAAGAAGAAACTGGATGGATGGACAGGGCTGGGGTAAGGAGTGAGTGAAAGGCACGGACATGCCCAAGTGTCTGCCGAGTGCTGTGTTAACACTGTAAGATACTATAAGCTAAAAAGAAAAAGGTGATTGTATATAAGCTAACACAGTTAGCTCTTTTCTTTGTACTACAGAAAATGTCTGTTCACCCCCTTTCTTTAATCCTCTCCTATTCCCTTTTATTTTGTAATATAAACACATAACATAAAATTTACCATAGCAACCATTTTTAAGTGTACAATTCAGTGGCATTAAGTACATTCACCTTGCTCCATAACCATCACCACCATCCCATCTCCACAAAATTTTCAACATCTTCAACTGTCTCCTGTTCTCTTTTGACCCCACCCCAGT